CCAGTTTGCCTGGGACTGTCCTTTTTTAACACTGAATGTTCTGCATCTCAGAAAACCCCTCAGACCAAGGCAAATCAAGGCAGTTGGTCACCCTGGCAGAGACAGATACCAAACAAGCAACCAAAAATCATCAAATGATGATAAGTGCTCTGAAGAAAACAGACCATAACAAAGATGAGAGTGTACTGAAAAGAGTATTACTGTTTTGCATACAGATGTCAGGGAAAGCTCCTCTGACATAACAACACTTCAAGGAAGGAGAGAACAAGCCATTGAGGTAAGTGGAGTAAGGGTTACAGGTAGAGTGAATAAAAATGGTCAAGAGCAAATGAAAAGAATCTAAGGTGGGAGTGTGTTTAGAATGCCTGAGGAATGGCAAGGGGACTTCTGTGGCTGGAAAGGGGTGAGCAAGAGGCAAAAGAGAAGAAGTTTAAGTTAAGGAAGCAATTGGGTGACAGCTATAGAATAACCTACCCATCACTTAACTTCTTCTTGATGATTTTAATTCCACAATTCCAACCTACAATAATTTTCCTTTTTCATTATAATGGAGACTCTGTCTTAATCTATTGAAATTCTTTCTTCTCACATCATATATTGTATTTGAAAAACACTATTTAACTATCCCATAGCATTGCTTTTGTTTCAATTATTCCAACATTTAATTATATACTACCTGTGTGTATTTGCTTTTAGATATCTATACCTTACCTCCCTAAAATTTATTGATGGATTGATTGAGAGATAGGGTGCTAGAATTACAAGGCATGAGCCGCTGCATCCAGCCGCCTCCCTAAAATTTAGACGTCTTGAGGTCAAGTTCCATATTGAACAGTGTTTGGTGCACAGTATGCAAGCAATAAATACTAATGGATATGGCTCTTTGTCTTTTGTTTATTTTTATGCTCAGAATAAAGAACTCTTACAATTGAACAATAAAAGACAACCCAATTTTTAAATGGGCAAAGGATCTGAATAGACATTTCTCCCAAGAATGTAAACAAATAGCCACTAGGCACATGAAAAGATGCTCAGTATCACTAGCCATCATAAAAGCGCATCAACACCACAACGCAACACCACTTCATACTCACTAGGATGCCTATAATCAAAAAGACATAATAAGTGTTGCTGAGAATGAAGAGAAACTGAAACACTCATACACTGCTGGTAGGAATGTAGAATGCCACAGCCATTTTTAAAAACAGTTTGGTATTTCCTCAAAAAGTTAAACATAGAGTTACCATTTGACCCTGCAATTCCATTCCTAGATATATATCCACGAGAAATAAAAATATCCACACAACAGTAGTTATAATAGCTAAAACATGGCAACAATCCTGTAGATCCATCAACTGGTGAATGGATAAATAAAATGTAGTATATGTATGCAGTGTAATTGTATTTGGCAATAAAACAGTAATACATGCTTCACTGAAAACATTACGCTAAGTAAAAGAGGTCAGTAACAAAGAACAGCATATTATATGATTCCATTGATATGAAATGTCCAGAACAGACAAATCCATAGAGACAAAATGCAGATTAGTTGCTGCTTTGGGTGGTGTTGGATAGGGGTGGGAAGATAGGGAAGTCACTGCTAAGAAGTTTGAGGTTTCTTTTGGGATTGTGACAATGTTTTAAATTTGTGGTGACAGTTGCACAATTCTGTGAACACACTAAAAACCAGTGAATTACACACTTTAGGTGAATTGTATGGCATATAAATTGTCTCAATAAAGCTGTTATTTAAGAAAACTTTTGAGCTGTCTCCAAGAATGGAAAATGATACTTCACTGGAAATAATGTTAAGCAAAGGCAAACAGCCTTCTGTTGGAAACATTACTATAAAAGATGGATTCAGTCAGTGGTTCCCAGTAACAGTTCACACTAATCATAAAAACAGCCCAGAGAATTTAATAAGTTCTTGGGCTCCCCAAAGAACACAATTCAGTAGGTCCAGTGGGGTCCAGGGATCTATATTTTTAAAAGGCTTTTCAATTTATTTTAATGTATATCTAGAATTGGGAACCACTGGACCATTATTAAGGTCCTAACTCAATGATTTTATGAGATTTTATCTTTGGTATCTATAAGATACCTCTCTATCTAGTATTTTACATTTATTTGAAAATCTCAAATTCCTTAATGAAACTCACCTTCCTAAACGGAGAGCCTGAGTTTGGGAACAGGTGGCCTCATTGAAAGGATTATAGCACGTCACATATTCCTATTAACCTTATGTGTGTCCTTTACTTACGCTACTTTAAATTCTTTTTTGGGGGTAGGGGGGAATGATTTGATTTAAATAAATTGAATAAATAAAAGATGACATATATTACATACATTCTCTGAAACTATATTTCTCAAACTGAGACACATTGGAGAATCTTTTTTTCTCAAATATTTGTAATTTAATACATTTTGTTTTGAAAATACAGGTATATTATAGAATCAAATATAAAATTTTCATGAACTTTTAAGATAAAACCCAGAAACTTCAAAGAAATTCCACAATTGCCACAGGAACTACTTGAGACTACACTCCCAGATTCCAAGGTCATATACTCATGCCCATCTGCAAGGCAAACTTCAGGAAAAACCCAAGAAATCTAGGTATTCTGTTTTCCACTCCATGGGTGATAAAATTTGTATTCCACCTTCATTCAGAACCTTATGTAGACTAGTCAGCTTACTAGTGATTATGCTCTGAGCTCTGAGCACTTCACGGAGGGAAAAAGATATCTGAACTGAATCCAAGAATTAAACCAAAATCTGTTAATGGGTGAGTGAAAAATCTTTCATAGGCAAGCTACGCTCAGAGCAATGTCTGCTGGGGATCAGGCCTTGTGGTTAACCTGTCTAGTGTTTTAATCAGGCAACAATGAACATCAGGTGCAACCTCCAGAACGATTTGGACATCACCCAGCTAGTGGAGGGTATACTCTGGTTGCTTATCTGGGCTGCTCAGCCCACTGATCCATGCAGAAGCCCTGGGTAGTCCACCGAAGGCTGTAGATGAACTATCACTAAAGAGAAGGTATTCCCCTAGATTTGCAATATTTCACTTAGATCTAGTGCTTTGATATTTTGGCTGTTCTTTTTCAGCTAATTTCTCAAAAACATTTGTGATAACTTCACTCAGGGACTAAACATCTTAAGAGTGGGATTATAATATGGAGTCTGACATAGAATTATATAAATCTTAGAGGTCAATTTTCTCAATATTAAAATGGAAAAGTAGAATAAAATATATCTTAAGATCTTTCTAGTGTTTAAATTCTACACTCATATGATACTTGCCATATTAAAGATATGTGCTATGAATTTTAAATGCAATTTCAAAAAAGGAAGTTGTAAACATTCTTTTTTTATTCTTTCCATTATGCTGTTTCTTCTTGCATCACCCTAGTTCAAAGCCCTTTCTCCCTCCACTGAATGTTTACAACCATTCTCAATTCTGGTCTTCAATCTCTCCTTATTCCATTATATTGACCACATTGCTATTAGATGATTCTCCCTTTATCATTTCCTTCAATGGCTCCTAGCCCAGCATTCAATGTGCTCCACAGTCTCCCAATTTACCTTTCTAACCTTGTCTATCCCATCCTTATATTAACTTACATTTCAGCAAACCTGTCAGTACCTTCTGAAATATATTAGACAAATCCTAGCTTCTTCCAATGTGCTTATGTCATTCCCCCACCTGAAATACTCTTGTCACACCTCCCACTTTTGTTCCATTCTTCAAGAATGAGTACAAGCCTCACCTCAACTACAAAGCTTTTTCTGACCACCTTCTTTAAATTCCTGAAGCACTTAGCCTGTAACACATCTTTGGCATCTGGCATATGCTACCCTCCTCTGGGCAGATTTAATACAGAATAGGTCTGTGGTGAAATCTCCGTGTAATTTTTTTTCCAGGCAAGACTCTCAGCTTTAATACAAGGTGACTATATAACACACAGCATCTAAAGGGGCATATTCAATTCAGACTTTTTTAATTTAAAAAAATTACAGTTCATGTGCAATTACTAGAAACTTTACCATGAATCCACCTTACTCTTGCCAACAATATTTTTACAGCTATGTTCTAATATTTAAGACAATACTTTAGCTTTGGGTTACTACTTCCTGTTTAATACCTTTAAAGGATAGAAGCGGGGCAAGAGTCCAAAGTAAATAATCAAAACTTTTCATTATAAAACTTGAACAAAATAAAAAATTTCTAGAAAACAAAACTAAGAGTATAGTTTTGAACAACAATCAAACCTCTTCTAGTATAGGTATCACACCAAACTCAAATTTGAGAAGAAATAAAAAGAGACATTTTGTCTGGTCAGAACCATTTAAACAAAATGGCACGTTTTTCTCCACCCAGCATGCAAAACACACAAATTTTACTAAAGCACATGTACTCCAACAAGTACCACCACCCTTTCCCTGATGGTGAATATTTCTGCTTTAATTCCAGAAACATTTTAACTACAAAGGTTTTGGTGTTGCTTAATAAAGAACATTTAATCTAGTCTTTACCCTTCTGATGGTAATACTGAGATAATGCAGATACAAGTCCAAATTTGCCACTTTCACTTCTATATAAAAACAGCCTCTTGAAGAGCCAAGAAACACTCTCCTAACGAGCCCCGTAATGAAGTGTTAGTAAACATTAGAAAATTGATTGCAGGCATGAAATATTACATTAAAACAAAGAAAATGTTTTCAACATGTCTCTTTAAAATGAAGTAAAAATATTTCAACCAATATGCTAGAGACTTTCATTAATTCAAAATAGCCTGAAACTAAACGGCAATGAAAAAAATCTCTTATTTAACTATTTTGGCACATTAAGAGTTCCATCTATTTCACAGAACAGAGAAAAGAGGAGTGAGAAAAGAATGCAGACGTGTGACAAATCTGTCTGTTAAGCAATTGCCAAAAGCCAATTTTGTTTTCCTTTCACCAAATAAAGATCATCCAACCAAGCCTGCAGTGCTCACCTGCAAAGCTGAGGGGTCTGGCAGGAATTCAGCATCCTCTCCAAAGATAAAATCAGGAGGCAACTCTGGGTATTGGGCATTGAAAATGATATCCCCTGAAATAAAAGAAAATGACAGGCCCTTTTTATTTCTTTTCTAAGTATAAATATTCTGAAGACTGTATCAGAAAAACTTCTAAAAGAAATTTATATTAGCTTAAGAAAAATATTTGAAAAGCACTTTCTGGATGATTAATTCTTCAAATAAACTGATTTTTTTTTTTTTTTGAGATAGGGTGTCACTTTGTTACCCAGGCTGGAGTGCAGCGATGCCATCTCGACTCACTGCAGCCTCGACCTCCCAGGCTCAAGTGATCCTCCCATCTCAGCCTCCCAAGTAGCTGGGACTACAGGAACATGCCACCATGCCTGGCTAATTTTTGCATTTTTATTAGAGACGGGGTTTCACCATGTTGCCCAGGCTGATCTCAAACTCCTTAGCTCAAGTGATCCTCCCGCCTTGGCCTCCCAATGTGCTGGGATTATAGGTATGAGCCACTGTCCCTGGCCTGATACCTTTTTTAAATTTAATATCCACAATGAGCAATTAAAAAAGCTTTATCTCCAAGTACATTATAAACATACATATCCAAGTAGAAAAGTAGAAGCAGGCAAATCCAAAATATGTGCTGATTATTTTTACAGGTAACATAACCAATCATTTTCTGCTAATTAATAAGCCTTTATGAAGATTGATTCTGTATAGACATAGTCCTTGCCTTGCAGAAATTAAACATACATACCTTTGGTATAATGGAGATAACATTTGGCTTACAGTTCACAAAACCTTAGATTTATATCCACAAGGTCTCCTCATTATTTACCAACTCAAGTGATCTTGAGCAAGTTTTAACTTCTTTAGACTTCAGTTTCTTCATCAGTAACAAGGAGATATAATAGTACTAAAATCACAGATTTGTTGTGAGGATAAAAAGAGACAGCATGCCTAGCAAGGTCTGGCATATAGTAAGCTCTCAACAAGTGATAAAGGGAGTATTACTGTTGTTTTGAAACATAAGACAAATTTACAAAGTCTCACTAGCAAATTTATGTTGCAAATTCTTGTTTCTTTTCTGAAACCTTCTATAACTCCCTTTTATGCCTCTGCTCATCCCAAGAATCAGCTCTTATCATTATGCTAATACCAACAAGTAGATTAGTTTATTGACAATGTAACACACACATTGAGTTGTAATGTGGAAAAATATGTATACTTGTGTACATGTACACAACCTCTATACACATACATACAGCTTTATCTATCCAATCTTTTTTACTGCTTAAACAATATCTATATAATTATATCCAATTGTAAGCATTCAAACTTCAGTTCTTATTCGAGTCCTTAAATCTCTACGTACTAGGCATTTCAATGTCAAACTCAGCAAGTCTAAAAGCATGCTCATGACTGTCCCTCTTCTCACTCCCCTCATTCCTTGATTCCATGCTGAAATTTTGGTGTCATCTCCAACCTTTCATATATCCTATATGCTCATAGAAAACAAGTCATCTCAATTTTTCCTCCAAAATGTCACTCATATGGATTTTTCCTACTGTTAACAGCCCCTTCCAGGCCCAGATCACCTAATACATATATTCACTCATCCATTGAATAAATATTTAAGCTTTGCCCAAGGCACTATGGTAGGTACTCAAGACAAACAAACAAAAAACCCTGCTGTTAAAAGCTGACACACTAAAGAAACTCAATCATCATCTTACCTTTTAAAATGGTCTTCTAATACCAGCTGCCCTCCAGTCCATAATATATATTATCACCAAGTAAATATATACATATATTTTTTTTTTGAGACGGAGTTTCGCTCTTCTTACCCAGGCTGGAGTGCAATGGCGCGATCTCGGCTCACCGCAGCCTCCGCCTCCTGGGTTCAGGCAATTCTCCTGCCTCAGCCTCCTGAGTAGCTGGGATCACAGGCACGTGCCACCATGCCCAGCTAATTTTTTGTATTTTTAGTAGAGACGGGGTTTCACCATGTTGACCAGGATGGTCTCGATCTCTTGACCTCGTGATCCACCCGCCTCGGCCTCCCAAAGTGCTGGGATTACAGGCTTGAGCCACCACGCCCGGCCGGTAAATATTTTTAATGTGCTATTTTGTTCCAAAATGTCCCAACTCGAGAAACTTACATGAGTTTCCAATATCAAATGGAGTAAGGGCAAACTTTTCAAACTGATATTTAAAGTCTTCAGAAATACTATGGTGCTACCTATTTATCCATCATTCTTTATCTACAATCCAGTCTTTCAGTCTTTTCTCTTTTTTGTTTTTTTTTTTTTTTGAGACGGAGTTTTGCTCTTTTTGCCCAGGTTGAAGTACAATGGCATTATCTGGGCTCACCGCAACCTCTGCCTTCCGGGTTCAAGCAATTCTCCTGCCTCTGCCTCCCAAAGAGCTGGGATTATAGGCATGTGCCACCATGTCTGGCTAATTTTGTATTTTTAGTAGAAACAGGGCTTCTCCATGTTGGTCAGGCTGGTCTCAAACTCCCGACCTCAGGTGAGTCCACCTCGGCCTCCCAAAGTGCTGGGATTACAGGCAATGAATCACCGCACCTGGCCCAAGCCAGTCTTTTCTTCCAGTCTATATGATCTGTTCAGTGCCCTCCAAATACTATGACACCAAATACTATGACATCTCTCTCCTTGCTCAGTTCTTACCTTCCTTTACGAGCCCACTAAATTGTCTCTCGCATGAAGCTTGCCCTAATAAATCCAGAGCACACAGATCATTGTTACTTCTGAAATTAAAATGCTGACTGGTTATGCCATTCACTTGAGTATTTAATTGTAAGTAGTCTTATATTGTTTTATTGTTTGATTAATTTTTAAAAATCATAATAAACACAAGCTACCTGTGAGATACTGTGATACACACTGTGTCAATACAAAGATAATTATCATCAAGGAGCTTCTGTTTAGTGAGGGATATAAGACATAGATCCAGAATCACAAATACACAGTAGTGCAAGGTAAGTACATATAATTGATCTTCCTAATTATACTGTAAGCATCCAGAAAACAGATGTTTTTATACTTATTTAATGTTTCTGACAGGGCAGAGTATATCACAAATAGCATATATTCAAGAAACACTCAATAAATGAAAGAAATTCTATTCTCTGTACTGAATGTCTAATTGCTGAAAAAATCTTCAGTGAAGAATAAGGCATTGCAACAAACATATGAAAAAACCCTCAAAATCACTAATTATCAGGGAAATGCAAATCAAAACCACAATGTGATTACCACCTTACTCATGCAAGAATGGCCATAATAAAAAAAATCAAAAAATATTAATAATAGATATTGGCAGGGATGTGGTGAAAAGGAGCACTTTTACACTGCTGGTGGGAATGTAAATTAGTACAACCACTATGGAAAACAGTGTGGAGATACCTTAAAGAACTAAAAGTAGAAATACCATTTGATCCAGCAATCCCACTACTGGGTATCTACCCGGACGAAAAGAAGTCATTTTACAAAAAAGATACTTGCACATGCATGTTAACAGAAGTGCAATTGATAATTGCAAAAATATGGAACCAGCCCAAATGCCCATCAATCAACAAGTGGACAATGAAATTGTGATACTAAAATAATACACACACACACACACACACACACACACACACTCTCACACTCAGCCAGCCATAAAAAGGAACAAAATAATGGCATTTGCAGCAACCTGGAAGGAACTGGAGACCATTATTCTAAGTGAAGTAACTCAGGAATGGAAAACCAAACATTGTATGTTCTCACTCAAAAGTGGGAGCTAAGCTTTGAAGATGCAAAGGCATAAGAATGATATAATGGACTTTGGGGACTGAAGGGAAAGGGTGGGAGGAAGTGAAGGATAAAAGAATACATATTGAGTACAGTCTACAATGCTTGGGTGATGGGTATAACTAAATCTCAGCAATCATCACTAAAGAACTTATTAGGCCAAATATGGTGGCTCACACCTGTAATCCTAGCACTTTGGGAGGCCAAGGCAGGTGGATCATGAGGTCAGGTGTTCAAGATCAGCCTGACCAACATGGTGAAACCCCATCTCTACTAAAAAAACACAAAAATTAGCCAGATATGGTGATGCATGCCTGTATCCCAGCTACTCAGGAGGCTGAGGCAGGAGAATTGCTTGAACCTGAGTGGTAGATGTTGCAGTAGGCCAAGATTAGGCCACTGCACTCCAGCCTGGGTAACAGAGCAAGACTCTGTCCACCATCCCCCCCAAAAAAGAAATTTATTCATGTAACAAAACACCAACTATTCCCAAAAAACCTACTGGAATAAAACTAAAAATAAAATAAAATGTGAGAAATGCAACATACACACATACAAATAAAACTAAAAATAAAATATTTTTTATTTAAAAAAAAAAAAAAGTCATAGCAAAGTCACTCCTGGAGCTTTCTGTAGGGAAAAAGTTTAAACAAGAAAATGTATCTTTCAGCAGACAGGTATAAAATTAAATTCTCAAAAGTAGTACAACAACCACCTCTCACCCTGCCCACTATCATCATTTCAGATGATCAATTGTATCAATGATAAATTATAAAATTCAAAAGTTCTAACTGTAAGACATTAACTCAGCCTTGGCTAAGAAGCACAAGTAGAGACTAATGAATGTCCTGATTACTCATTCTTTCAAATATACCCAGCAAGCATATTCTTTAGAAAGGAATATACTTTAGAGATGTGTTTTTAAAAGTTTTTAAAAGTATGGGGACTTTTAAAATGGGGCATTTACGGCCAATTGATTTTTGACAAGGGTGCCAAGACAATTAAATGTTGGCTTAGTTACTTTAGAAAAAAAAATCAAAAAGTTAACAAGCAAAGGTATCAAAGTTTTGAAAAATGCCAAGTTGGGATCTATTGTGCTTTGACATTCTAAAAATAAATAACATGCTAAATTCCAATAAAAGAAATTTTATCACTTTTGCTACTATAGAAGAATGGCTGCATTTTCAAGTTCTCAAACTGTTAGTAATAAATATTTCCATACTGGTAAATATTGAAAAAATCTACTTAAAGGA